GTGTGGTAGAGCATGGGGGATGGGTGTAAGAGGCGGTTGTTGACACCAACGCGTCCTCAAGCCAGGGCTGCCAGCTGCCACCTTGGGCGTTGCTGCCCGCATCCTCGACCGTCACCACATGGCAGCTGAAGCTGCTGCCTGGGGTTGCCCAGGCCGCCCGCGCCGCCAGAGGAAGGAAGCTGCGCTCCCCAGGGGCCGCCCGCGATGTGGCGGCCGGGACCTTGTGCTGCCGTGGCGGCCGCCTGCGCTCCTGCCATGCGCACCTCTTTCATGATGCGCAGGCTGTCCCGATGCCTGGTGGTCTTGAACGCCAGGCACTCCAGGATAGCGGATGCGCCTGGGGTTGATGTGCGCCCAGGCGTGCAGGGGTGCGTGTGAAGGGCGTGCACACAAGCACACCTCAATGCCAGCAGGCTGCGTGCGGTGGGCTGGCGAGCAAGCCCCTGTTCTCAGCTGCCTGCTAGCCCCATGCCAAGGGGTCGGCAAAGCTTGTGCAGCTGTTGCTGTGATAATGGCGCGCGTGCCCTCCCTCCGCCTCTGTGCCAGTGGGTGCACACCAGAGGTCTCGGGGGTCTCATAAATGCTGCCTGAGTTGACGTACACACCCAGGCTGGATATCGGCCCCTGCGTGGTTTCGCAAGGTTAGTAAGGGCTACAGCCAATGCAGCCCTTTCTGCATCGCCTGCCGACACATTCCCTGATGCAGGAGCAGAGGGGCCCGCGTACAGCTCCTGCCGGTCTGTTGCTCACCGTCGTCGCCTCGCTGACTATCCGCACGCCGTTGGGCAGCGTTGTGACCTTTGTCGGCGGCGGCTCCAGAGGCACCGCGTATCCATTCTTCTGATGCGTCCCCGGAAGCGCCTTGGTGAGAGGAGTAGAGACGCGCGTGCTGGCCGAGGGGCCCAGCCACGCGGGGAACGTCCCTGTAGGCCCCACGCTCGCCTTGCATGCACCACTGCTGGTGGACAGAGCTCTGCGTAGATGCGATACAAGCAACTGCGCGCTGCCCCTCATGCTGGCAGCTATTCGTGCGTCTAAGTCGGATCCTGCTGCTGATGGCTACTGACCACGAAATAAGACCTTGGTGAAGAGATTTCAGGACCACTGTCGACTCGCCTCACGTACAAGCGAGAAGAGTCACGGGGTCACTGCGGTGATCTGTGCCAGAGCAGTCAGAGCAGCAGCTGCTGCCCCTGCTGCTGCACCCCGCTCAACAGTCACACACCAGCCTACAACCCCGCATTGTATGCCACCGACATTCTAACGTATCTGAAAAACACCTCCTTGTACCCTACGCATAGAGAAAGCAAGCAGCAGCCGCAGGCCGTCGAGGACGATCTGGCAGGGGCATCGGCTGCCTTTTATAGGCACCCAGTCCCATCCTTATATATTAAGCTTGCCCAATGGCTCAAGATCCAGAGAGCAACAAGCTCGACTTCCTAGATGGGGTCAGCTTTTTGCCGTGGGACTGGCGCAATCTGGGCGCGGCATTCCAGGACGGCAGGCGCGAGAAGAGCCAATCCGTGGCGGCCCGCTGCAACTTCACCGTCCGCCGTGGCTTTGACGCGCTCGACGCCGTCGACTATGGGGGCGTTGTCGAGGGCGTCGGCGACCTGGGCATCAACCTCCGCAGCAAGGCGTTCGCCTTCCACCTCGGCGCGTCCAACCTCACCTACAAGGGCGGTGAGGACGCGCCGCTCGCCGTCGTGTCCACGTCGCGCGGGCGCCTGGCCAGCCTCAAGCTGACGGTGGCGCAGGAGTATGCGGAGGACCAGTTTGCCGCGGTGTCGTACGACGTGCTGCAGCGGCGGCCCGAGCTGTCCTTCGCGTGGAGCGGCGAGACCTTCACCGAGCGCGCGACGCTCTCGCTGCACCTGGACCCCGTCGACCGCGCCGCGCGCCTGCGGGCCGCCGTGTCGCTGCCCGGCCCCGAGTGGCGCGACGACGTGTACGACGAGGCGACCGGCAATGTCGAGATCCCCGTGGACGACGGCGGCCGCCACGCAGTGTGGGTCGAGCACGAGGCGCGGCGGCGGCAGCTGCTCGCGGCGACGCGCGTCGGCGCGCGGCTGGACCTCGGGCGCGTGGTCAACTGGGCTGCGGACTACGTGGACTACCGCCTGCAGCACCTGATCCCCGGCCTGGTCTGGAAGATCCCGCTGAGTCAGCGGCTGTACAACCTGCTGGTACCTGCAGAGGACGAGAACCAGGAGCGGCACCGCATACGCGGCTGGGCGCTTGAGGCCAGCCACGATTTCGCGCGGCCCGCGCCGACGGTCGGCGTCAGCAAGCGCATTGGGCAGCTGGGGCGCGCGGCGGCGACGTACGACGTGGCGGAGCGCACCGGCGAGCTGCGGCTGCGGCTGGGCGGCGTGGTTGCGGCGGCGGCGTTCACGCGGGCGCACGGGGCCGGGTGGAGGGAGTGGAGCAGCCCGGCGCTGTCGCTGTCGGTGGAGCCGCTCGCGTTCTTGTGAGCGGCCCGCCAGCGGCGGCGGCGGCAGGCGGCAGCGACGAGCGGCAGGCGGCAGCGACGAGCGGCAGGCGGCAGGTGGAAGCGGCAGGCGGCAGCGGCAGGCGGCAGG